GAAAACCATGACGTCAAATCCGGGGATGTCCGCCTCGTCAGCCACGGTGCAACGGAATAAGGGAGTAAACCCTGACTTCAAATCCGGGCGTGCGGGCTCGTTACTCCACGTGGGGGAGCCGCAATAAAGGAAGGAAAACCCTGACAGAAAACCCGGGCAGGGCGGGCTTGTTAGACTTGGTCGTCAACCCCCCTAGGAGAAGGAAAACTCCAAAATTAAACCCTACCTTGCAAACTATGATGATGGAGCGCATGAATGAGAAAGACGTACCGGACCAGACCGACCGGACGGTCAGGTCCCGGCACTTGGGTGGTATTGTCCCGGNCACCCCTGGGTCGTTATCCAACGACGGGCCCTGTGTTGCTTGCCCCGCAGAGGCAGCACAGGATAATGCGTCTGCGAAGACTGGCGCTGACGCGTCAGTACGCAGTGGGGATGCGACCCCAAGTCCTAGTCCCACTTTGGGACGGACTAAGANACGCATCAGGGGTCCGAGGTGGCTTGCCTCGGACTCAGAGCAGGAAGAGGGCGAGGATGGAGACCAACATCTGTCCATCCCATCCACGGCTCAGCCCAGCTTGTCTGGTGCNAAGTGTCTCGGCAATAGTCGGGTCACTTTAAACAAACAAGAGCTGATGGACGTAGCCCTACCGGACGACAACTCAGATTCGGAGCTCGAGGTCGTATCGGTTACGAAAGAGGTACCGCCGCCGAAACGACATCACCATCAAGCGCGCGGTCACGCCCCTCCCAGCCTCTTGGGTCTCCCAACAGAACAAACAGCTGTGGAGAGAGAAAGAGGGAATAGGGCCGTCCCCCTACAACTGGGGAATTTGTGGGCCTTGCTGCGGCCAAGNGCAGCCTAAACAAGGCCAAGGAACGGGAGCTGCAACTCCGANCCAAAGAAAAGCTGCTCAACGACTTTGACGCTGTTCGAGTCCCAACCCGTTCCCAGAGATACCCTCTTCCCTTAACCGGGCGGAGGGTACAGCNGAGGGACAGCCTGCAAAAGTCGTCATGTCAGAAGACCTAAGGACCGGTCGCGGCCCTCCCGTGGTTCGAGTCCGGTGCAGGAGATGGACATCTCTCCCCCTCCGAGCACGGCGAGAGAGAAAAGTAAGGAGGCGACAGCACCCCCGCCGGATACTGGCACCCAGCTGGACGAAGAACACCCTGCATGGAAGCCGGTAGAGCTCAAGGATATTGAGTCTCTGCTCAAGGCCCACCGCAGGGAAACGGACAGGCAGATGGCTGAAAAGCTGTCTGTCTTTTACGAACAGGTCGTCCATCGCCTGTCCGTTCGTCTTCCTTTGCGAGGACAACCGCAGGAAAGGACAGAGGTAGATGCCACGGCAGAGACGGGGTGCAGCGGCCTGGCTGCAATCAGTGCAGCAAACTCGTCTGCATCTCCGCCCTCTGCCCCAGCAACTTCCGCAGAGCCCAGTACGGGTCTGCGGAAAAAGAAAAAAAAGAAGAAGAAGAGCAAGAAGAAAGGCGGCAACGAATCCGGGCCGGGAGATAAGGAGACGGCCAAGGCCGCATTTCAGGCCCCCAAACTCGCGCTGCCCGCTCCCCTGCTATCATCCTCCCAACCTTCCGCTCCCTTCACCTCAAAAGACACCTGGTCTCAGGTAGTGGGGCGGAAGAAAAG